ATATGTGTGTGTGATGTTTACATTACCTATGTGTGTATATACTTAAACATATATCTATATGGGACCCTATGGGATCTATATGTGTGTGTATGTGCTTAATGTCTAAATTACATATGTGTGCAATTATGTGTGTGTATGTACATAAACATAGATATATATACACACACACAGTATATATATGTGTGTGTGTGTGCGCGCGCAATATCTAAATTACTTATGTGTGCAATTATATGTGTGAATATGCATAAACATATATATATATATATATATATATATATATACATACATACACACACAATTTATATGTGTGTGTGATGTCTATATTACCTATGTGTGTATATACATAAACATATATATATATATACACACACACACACTATATATGTGTGTGTAAGTGCTTAATGTCTAAATTACGTATGTGTGCAATTATATGTATGTATATGCATAAACACACACACACACACATATACATGCATACACACGCACAGTTTATATGTGTATGTGTGATGTTTACATTACCTATGTGTGTGTATACATAAACATATATATATATATACACACACAGTATATATGTGTATGTATGTGTGTAATGTATAAATTACATGTGTGCAATTATATGTCTGTATGTACATAAACATATACACACATATATACAGTGTGTGTACAGTATGTATATATAATGTGTGTTATGCATAAACATATATATTATATACACACACTATATATGTGTGTGTGTAATGTCTAAATTACATATGTGTGCAATTATATGTGTGTATATACATAAACATATATACACACAGATATATACAGTGTGTGTACAGTATATATATGTAATGTGTGTTATGCATAAACATATATATTATATACACACACTTTATATATGTGTGTGTGATGTCTAAATTACATATGTGTGGAATTATATGTGTGTATATACATAAACATATATACAGTGTGTGTGTATATATATATATGTAATGTCTAAATTACATGTGTGGAATTATATGTGTGTGTATATGGTTATGTATATACACACAGATGTAATTGCACACATATGTAATTTAGACATTACACAGGCACACATCTAAATGACATGTGTGTAATTATTTGTGCATATATAGATAACTATATATATATACACACTGCATATATGTATATGTGTGTGTGTGTATATATATATGTGTGTGTGTGTAGTGTCTTAATTTCATGTGTCCAATTATGTGTGTGTGTATATATAGTGATGTATATACACATGTATAATTGCACACATATGTAATTTTGACATTGCACATACACATCTAAATTAGATATGTGTGCAATTATATATGTGCCCATATACACACATAATGGTGATAATAATGATAATTATTAGTAGCTGAAGAAATCCATTTGCATATATATAACATAATATGTATAACATTGTATTAATATAATAACAATATAATAATGATATAATAATATCAATATAATATTATAATAATTTATTGACGTATCTAAATATAAATTATATGTGTGCAATTTTGTGCATATATACATATGTATTCATATTAACATTAATATAATTAATATAATTATTATATTATTAAAATATAATAATAAATATTAATTTAATATAATTATTATATTAATTATTATATTAAAATATAATTATTATATATAATATAATTATATATCAATATAATAATGTATCATATATATATATATATATATATATATAATGCAATTTTGTGTATATATACACATATATATTAATATTAGCGTCATAGCAGGTACAAATAATATATCAAAATAATATGTGGATTACAAGCAGTGTGTGATTGTTACCTGGACTGACAGGTAAAGGTGAGAGAAGGCGAAGGAAGCCTTGACTTCCATCCAGGCGAACAGCGTGCAAAGAAAAAGATCAAGAGACCCCTGGAAGTGGGGAAAAATTGCTCTTTTTGGTCACCTGCTGAGAGAATTAATTCTGATGGACAGCCCACTCAGCCAATCGTGGCCCTTGGATGGGGAAGGGAAGCAGGCCCAAGGCTGTATATAAACAGAGGCCAAGGTAGCAGTCCTGGTCCTTTCCAACCGAAAGCCTCACCTGCGCAAGATGGGTCCCCACGTCACCTGCTTCAGGTGGGTGGCTTTGCTCCTCATCCTGACCCGCCAGCATCCAGCGGAGGCCAAGCCGGCCCCACATGCACAGGTAAGAGGAAAGGGAGCACACCTGTATGGGTCCCTATGGGAGGCACCGGGAGGGTGGGATCTGGAAGGAGTGATAAAATCCTAAGACCATATAAGTAATAGAACCTATTAATGACCCTATAATCAAGAGACCCGATGAGTGATAGACTCTATATCTATGAATATCCCCTATAGGTGAGTGATGGGACATATGAAGGGCCCTATAATAGACCCTATGGATGATAGGTTCCAGGAAGAACCCGACAAGTAATAGACCCCATTCATGGGCCCTATGAATGAGCCTATAAGTAAGGGACCCTATGAATGACCCAATGCATGACCCTATGAATGATAAACCCTATGAATGACCCTATAAGTAATAGACCCTAAGATAGACCCCATCCATGACCCTATAGTAGACCCTATGAGTGATAGACCCTATGAATGACCCTATAAGTATGGGACCGTATGAATGACCCAATGCATTGACCCTAAAATGGGCCCTATGATTGACCCTATAAGTGAGGGACCCTATGAAGATAGACCCCATCCATGATCCTATAATAGACCCTATGAATAATAGACCCTATATGATATAGTGATATACCCTATATCTATGAATATCCGCTATAGGTGAGTGATGGGACCTATGAAGGGCCCTATAATAGACCCTATGGATGATAGGTTCCAGGGAGAAGCCTACAAGCTATAGACCCCATTCATGGGCCCTATGAATGAGACTATAAATAAGGGACCCTATGAATGACCCAATGCATGACCCTATGAATGATAAACCCTATGAATGACCCTATAAGTAATAGACCCTAAGATAGACCCCATCCATGACCCTATAGTAGACCTTATGAGTGATAGACCCTATGAATGACCCTATAAGTATGGGACCGTATGAATGACCCAATGCATTGACCCTATAATGGGCCCTATGAATGGCCCTATAAGTAAGGCACCCTATGTGTGATAAACCCTATGAATGACCCTATAAGTATGGGACTGTATGAATAACCCAATGCATGACCCTATAATGGATCCTATGAATGACTATAAGTAAGAGACCCTAAGATAGATCCCATGCATGACCCTATAATAGACCCTATGAGTGATAAACCTATGAATGGCCCTATAAGTAAGGCACCTTGTGTGTGATAAACCCTATGAATGACCCTATAAGTATGGGACTGTATGAATGACCCAATGCATGACCCTATAATGGGTCCTATGAATGACTCTATAAGTAAGGGACCCTAAGATAGACCCCATGCATGACCCTATAATAGACCCTATAAATGACCCTATAAGTAAGGGACACTATGATTGACAGACCACATGCATGACCCTATAATAGACCCTATGGATGACCCTATAAGTAATAAACCTAAGACAGACCCCATGCATGACCTTATAAGAGACCCTATGAATGATAGACCCTATGAATGACCCTATAAGTAAGGGACACTACAAATGATAGACCCAATGAATGACCCTATAAGTAAGGGACCCTAAGACAGACCCAATGCATGACCCTATAATAGACCCTATGAATGATACAGTCTATGAATAACCCTATAAGTATGGGGCCATATGAATGACCCTATAATGGGCCCTATAAATGACTATAAGGGACCCTAAGATATACCCCATGCATGACCTTATAATAGATAGACCCTATGAATGGCCCTATAAATAAGGGACCCTATGAATGATAGACCGAATGCATGACCCTATAATAGATCCTATAATAGTGATAGACCCTATGAATTACCCTATAAGTGAGGGGCCCTAAGATAGACCCTAGAATTGACCCTATGAGTGATAGACCCAATGCATGACCCTATAATAGACCCTAAGATAGACCCCATGCATAATCCTATAATAGACCCTATGAATGATAGGCCCAAAAAGTAATACAACCTGTGAATGAGAGACCCTATGAATGATAAACTAGATGCATGACCCTATGATTGACCCAATGCTTGACCCTATAATAGACCCTAAGAGTGATGGACCCAATGCATGACCCTATAATAGACCCTAGGAATGATAGACCCCATGCATGACCCTATAATAGACCCTAGGAATGATATACCCTATGAATGACCCTATAATAGACCCTAGGAATGATAGACCATATGAATGACCCTATAAGTAAGGGACCCTATGAAGATAGACCCCATGCGTGACCCTATAATAGACCCTAGGAATGATAGACCCCATACATGACCCTATAAGAGACCCTATGAATGACCCTATAAGTAAGGGACCCTACATGTGATAAACCCTATGAACGGCCCTATAAGTAATAGACTCTAAGATAGACCCCATGCATGACCTTATAGTAGACCCTATGAATGATAAACCTATGAATGACCCTGCAAGTAAGAGACTCTATGAATGATAGACCCCATGCATGACCCTATAATAGATCCTATGAGTTAGAGACCATATGAATGACCCTATAAGTAAGGGACCCTATGAAGATAGACCCCATACATGACCCTATAATAGACCCTAGGAATGATAGACCCCATACATGACCTTATAATAGTATGGGACCGTATGAATGACTCAGTGCATGACCCTATAATGGGCCTCATGAATAACTCTATAAGTAAGGGACCCTAAGATAGGCCCCATGCATGATCCTATAATAGATAGGCCCTATGAATGGCCCTATAAGTAAGGGACCCTATGAATGATAGACCCCATGCATGACCCTATAATAGATCCTATGAGTGATAGACCATATGAATGACCCTATAAGTAGGGGACCCTATGAAGATAGACCCCATGCATGACCCTATAATAGACCCTAGGAATGATAGACCCCATACATGACCCTATAATAGTATGGGACCATATGAATGACCCAATGCATGACCCTATAATGGGCCTCATGAATAACTCTATAAGTAAGGGACCCTAAGATAGACCCCATGCATGACCCTATAATAGATAGACCCTATGAATGGCCCTATAAGTAAGGGACCCTATGAATGATAGACTCAATGCATGACCCTATAATAGACCCTATGAATGACCCTATAAGTAATGGACTCTGAGATAGACCCCATGCATGACCCTATAATAGACCCTATGAGTGATAGATCCTAAAAGTAATACAACCTGTGAATGAGAGACCCTATGAATGATAAGCTAAATGCATGACCCTATGACTGACCCAATGCTTGACCCTATAATAGACCCTAAGAGTGATGGACCCAATGAGTGACCTTCAGAGTGATAGACTCTGTGTCTTCAGCACCTTGGAGAGCTGCTTGGATGGGGTGCTGATGGTCTGCTGGTGGTGCTTCCCTCGCAGGTCCTGGAGGGGCGGATGGGGGTCCCAGCGGGGTCCTCGGAAGCGGAAGAGGGGGACGATGGGCTTGCGTGGCCACTCGCGGAGACCGCTGCCCAACGGGTGCTCATGGTCGCCCTCCTGGGCTCCCCCCAGCACCTCCCGCCCAGGAGCAAGAAGGGCCTCTCCCGGGGGTGCTTCGGGGTCAAGCTGGACCGCATCGGGGCCCTGAGCGGATTGGGATGCTGAAGCTCACCTGGGAAAGGTAAGAACAACCACAGCTCCCATCGTCCACCATTAGGTTCCTTTTTTGGAACCACAGTTCCCATCATCCACTATTAGATTCCTTTTTGGGGGGTCACAGCTCTCATCGCCCACCATTATTAGATGTCTTAGTGGAGATCACAGTTCCCACCATACACTATTAGATGCCTTTTGGGATCACAGCTTCCATCATCCACCATTAGATGCCCTTCCAGATCAGGATTCCCATCATCCACCCTTAGATGTCCTTTCCAGATCATGATTCCCATCATCCGTTAGATGCCTTTTCCTATAACAGTTCCCATCATCCACCGTTAGATGCCTTTTCCAGATCACAGTTCCCATCATCCACAATTAGATGCCTTTTTAGATCACAGTTCCCATCATCCACTGTTAGATGCCTTTTCCTATAACAGTTCCCATCATCCACCCTTAGATGCCCTTTCCAGATCATGATTCCCATCATCCACCATTAGATGCGTTTTCCAGATCACAGTTCCCATCGTCCACCATTAGATGCCTTTTCCAATGACAGTTTCCATCATCCATTAGATGCTCTTTCTGGATCACAACTCCAATCATCCACCATTAGATGTCTTTTCCAGATCATAGTTCCCATCATCTACCATTAGATGTCTTTTCTGATCACAGTTCCCATCATCCATCATTAGATGCCTTTTCCAGATCACAGTTCCCATCGCCCACCATTAGATGCCTTTTCCGGATCACGATTCCCACCATCCACCATTAGATGTCCTTTCCAGATCACGATTCCCATCACCCATCATTAGATGCCCTTTTGGGATCACAGTTCCCATCATTCACTGTTAAGATACCTTTTTGCTGGAAATATATCAGGAATACAATATCTCCTTTTAATCTCTCTGTTTTTCCTTCCTCCGCAGAGTAACACTTTCGAGACGCCCATTGAGGCCACCAACACCTCCATTCATCCATTCATTCTGGATTTGCAGGAATTACACAGCAGGATAAATAAATGAGAGTTAAGCTGAAGTTACTTCTTTAGATCTTGGAGAAGTTACTCTGAGAATATCGACTCACTTGGACTCATGAAGTGATTCGGTTTCCCATTGGAGGTGGCTTCACCTTCCAGATGCATGTTTGTTCTCCCCGTTGTGAAAACTAACTCGTTACAAAGGGGTTTGGTGACTTGTAATTCATTATGGCACCGGGAAAAAGTGATGTGTCAAATAAATCTGTTTTCATAATTGTGTACCTTGTGTAACTTTACTCACACATTACTGACAATATACTCACACTTTACTCAATCTACTCTCAGTCTATTCAGTTTCGCTTTATTCAGTCTACTCACTCTTTACTCGCACATTACTTACAATTTACTCTCAGCCTACTCACACATTACCCATGCTTTACTCACAGTCTACCTGGAGTTGCCTCCAGGCTGATATGAGCAAGGTAGAAATAATGCGAATAAATTAAATACATACTCACTTTACTCAATCTACTCACACTTTACCCACACATTAGTCAGTCTTACACTTTATTCACTCTATTCACACTTTACTCAGTCCACTCATATACTGACAGAGGACTTGTTCTTCACTTACATTCTACTCACACATTACCGACAGTGAACAAAGTATGAGTAAAATGTGAGTAGACAGTAAGGTTTGAGTAAACTGAGCACATAATGAGTAACAGGTGAGTGACTGAGTAGACTGCGAGTAGTCTAAGTAGATTGAGTAAAGTAACATGTGAGTAAAGTGTGACTAGACTGAGAGTAAACCAAATGCAGTCTACTCATATACTGACAGAGGACTCATTCACTCACATTCTACTCACAGTGTATACTCACACTTTACTCAATCTACTTAGACTATTCGCAGTCTACTCAGTCACTCACTTGTTACTCATGATTTACTCAGTCTACTCACACCTTACTCTCTACTCACATTTTACTCATACTTTGTTCACATATTACTCACAGCTGAAGAAATCCATTTAGTTGAAAACCAATCCACTTGAGGACATTAGATATTGTTATTCTATTATTATTTAATATATGTATAATTATTATTAATGTTACTTACAATTAACTCTCAGCCTACTCACACATTACCCATTCTTTACTCACAGTCTACTTACACTTTATTCACTCTACTCACACTTTACTCAGTCTACTCATATACTGACAGAGGACGTTCTTCACTCACATTCTACTCACAGTGTATACTCACACTTTACTCAGTCCACTTAGATTACTCGCAGTCTACTCACTTGTTACTCATGATTTACTCAGTCTACTCACACCTTACTATCTACTCATAGTGTATACTCACACTTTACTCAATCCACTTAGACTACTCACAGTCTACTCAGTCACTCACTTGTTACTCATGATTTACTCAGTCTACTCACACCTTACTATCTACTCACATTTTACTCATACTTTGTTCACATATTACTCACACTTTATTCACACATTACTCACACTTAGAAGTAATATTAATAATAATGATGATAGTAATGATAATTCTTGTTAGTAGCTGAAGAAATCCATTTGAGGACATTAGATATTGTTGTTCTATTAGTATTATTTAACATATTTATTATTATTATTATTATTAATAGTAATAATAATAATAATAATAATAATATGAGAACGAATATCCAACGGAGCAAAGCATAACTGGGATGCATTTGGTCTGGACAATGCTTATCCCACATACGTTTGGAGACTCCTATAATCCAGTTCAGAGCAGACAGCCAACTGGGACCAGTTTCCTTCCTAATGGCTCCCATTAAAGCAGGCAGCCAATCTCACCGGGATGGAACCGGTTCCGCTGATGGCCGGCTGCGGCTGTATAAAGGCCGGCGGCCGGAGTCCGGAGCAGAAGCGGTCAAGATGACGAACACGCTGGGCCTGTGCTGCTGGACTTTCGTGCTGCTGGCCGTGCTGGGCTCGGGGTGGAGTGGCCCTCTGGCCGGGAGCCCCCCTGGGCAAGAGCTACAAGCCCTGCAGGTAAGGGAGGGACACCCGTGCCAACGCCATTCCCGTCATGAGGACTAGCACCTTTGCAAGGCTTGCATGGACAAGGCGCTGCTTCCATGGCCATGGCACGATGCTATGGCACATGGGAGTTGTAGTTTTGAAAAGACGCCAAACTACAACTCCCACCATTCCGACAGGGCACCGCTTTCACTGCCATGGCTCAATGCGACGGCACATGGGAGTTGTAGTTTGGCAAGGTAGGCAGACTTAGGATAAGCGGATAGGATAAGCTACGGATTCCCGGGATGCAAAGTTCGGACTGGAACCCAGGGCAGATAACGCAATTCCTGTAAAGTTTGGATTTAGATGCCAATGTAAAGCTCAGACTAAACGCCAGAGTGGATAGGAAGCAACTGAAAAAGCAAATGTACCCTATAAGCCAATGTAAGGTTCGGACTGAAAGCTGGAGCGGACAGGAAGCAATTGCACAAGCTTATGCATTCTAGAAGCCGATGTAAAGTTCTGACTTAAGGCCAGAACGGACAGGAAGCAACTGTAGGGGCAAATGCATCATTGAAGGAAATGTAAAGTTTGGACTAAAGACCGGAGCGGATAGGAAGCAACTGAAGAAGCATATGCATTCTAGAAGCAAATGTAAAGTTCTGACTTAAGACCAGAACAAATAGGAAGCATATGTAGAAGTAAATATATCCTAGAAGTGAATGTAAAGTTCGGACTAAATTCCGGAGCTGATAGGAAGTAACTGTAGAAGCAAATCCATTCCAGAAGCAAAGTTCAGACTAAAGGCCACAGCGGATAGGAAGCAACTGTAGGAGCAAACACATCATTGAAGGAAATGTAAAGTTCGGACTAACGTCCAGAGCGGATAGGAAGCAACTGTAGAAGCAAACGCATTCTAGAAGCAAAGTTCGGACTAAAGTCCGGAGCGGATAGGAGTCAACTGAAGCAAAGGCATCATTGAAGGAGATGTAAAGTTCGGACTAAAGTCCGGAGCGGATAGGAAGTATCTTTAGAAGCAGATGCATCTAGAAGCAAAGTTTGGACTAAAGTCTGGAGCAGATAGGAAGCAACTGTAGAAGCATATGAATTCTAGAAGCCAATGTAAAGTTCTGACTTGAGCCCAGAACATATAGGAAGCAATTGTAGAAGTAAATATATTCTAGAAGCACAAGTGAAGTTCGGACTAAAGTCCGGAGCGGATAGGAAGCAACAGTAGAAGTAAATGCATCACTGAAGGAGATGTAAAGTTCGGACTAAAGTCCGGAGCGAATAGGAAGCAACTGTAGATGACAATGACTTCTAGAAGCAAATGTTAAGCCCAGAGCTTTCAGAAATGGGAATCTCATGTTAAGTTTGGCCTAGAACCCAAAGCGGATAGGATTCTCGGGGATTCGCTTTCCTTCAGCAATGGGTGGATAATGGGAGTGGCAATTGGTCAAGACGGGGGCCGTAGAGTATCATCCGGTTTGGTCTTGCAGGACCTTTTGGCACGGCTGGAGGCGCATTTTGGCCAGGAGGAGACGGGCGCAGAGGCTGTTGAAGCGGACGCCTCGGAGCCGGACCCAAGCGACGACTTGGAGGAGGCCCTTCCTCCCAGCCTGATGGGAACTGTAGTCCCGCTGCCCGAGGCCGAGGCCCAATGGAGGCGGTTCTTCGCTTCGCCCAAAAGGAGGCGCTATTTTGCCGGGTGCTTTGGATCTCGGCTGGAACGGATCGGGACCCAGACCGGGCTCGGCTGCAACGTCTACAAACCCCGTAAGTCCATCACAACAACAACAACAACAATATAACAATGATGATGCTGTCCCTAATAATAATAATAATAATAATAATAATAATAATAGTGGACATAATAATAATATAGGATAATAATAATTATAGACACAATAATAGTAGAGTAATAATAATAATAATAATAATAATAATAATGGACATAATAATAATAATGGATAATAATAATAGACACAATAATATAGAATAATAATAATAATAATAATAATGGACACAATAATAAAGGATAATAATAATAGACACAATAATATAGTAGAATAATAACATAATAATAGACATAATAATAATATAGGATAATAATAGACACAATAATATAATAGAATAATAACATAATAATATTAATAATAAAGGACATAATAATAATATAGGATAATAATAATAGACACAATAATATAGTAGAATAATAACATAATAATATTATTAGTAATGGACATCATAATAATATAGGATAATAATAATAATAATAGACACAATAATATAGTAGAATAATAACATAATAATAAAGGACATAATAATATAGGATAATAACAATAGACACAATAATATAGTAGAATAATAATAATAAAGGATGTAATAATAATAATAATAATAATAATAATAATAATATGTTCTCCCCGATAATAATGATATAATATAATAAAAATATGTAGGACAATCAAAATATAGTAGAATAATAATAACAATATTGATAATAATAATAATTATCAGCCTTCGGGCTAATATGGGCAGGATAGAAATGACGTAAATAATTAAATAGAATATAATAATAATAATAAAGAACAATAGCAGCAAAATAATAATAATAGACATCATAATAATATAGTATAATAACAATAAATACAATAATATAGTAGAATAACACAATATTAATAGTAATAACAGTAATAATAATAATAATAATAATAATGGACATAATAATAATAATAACAGCAATAATAATAATAATGGAAATAATAGACACAATAATATAGTAGAATAATAATAATAATAATAATAATAATAATAATAATAATAAAGAACATACTAATAATATAGGATAGTAATAATAATAGACACAATAATATAGTAGAATAATAACATAATAATAATATTAATAATAATGGACATAATAATAATAATAATAATGGATAAAAATAATAGACACAATAATATAGTAGGACATAATAATAATAATATAGGATAATAATAGACACAATAATATAGAATAATAATAATAAAGGACATAATAATAATAGACAATAATATAGTAGAATAATAATAATGGACATAATAATAATATAGGATAATAATAACAGACACAATAATATAGTAGAATAATAACATAATAATATTAATAATAATGGACATAATAATAATATAGGATAATAATAATAATAGACACAATAATATAGAATAATAATAATAATGAAGGACATGACAATAATAATATAGGACAATAATAATAGACACAATAATATAGTAGAATAATAACATAATAATATTAATAATAAAGGACATAATAATAATATAATATAGGATAATAATAGACACAATAATATAGTAGAAAAATAACATAATAATAATAATAATATTAATAATAAAGGACATAATAATATAGGATAATAATAGACACAATAATATAGTAGAAAAATAACATAATAATATTAATAATAATGGACATAATAATAATATAGGATATTAATAATAATAGACACAATAATATAGAATAATAATAATAATAATAATAATAATAATAATAATAATGAAGGACGTGATAATAATAATATAGGATAATAATAATAGACACAACAATATAGAATATTAACATAATAACAATGGACATCACAATAATTACAATAATATAGATTAATAATAACATAATAATAGACATAATAATATAGGATAATAATAGATAAATTAATATAGAATAATAATAATAATAATAATAATAATAATAATAATATAGGATAATGATAATGACATGGGACATAATAGCAATATGTTGAAGTTGGGCCTTGATATTTTGCCTTTCTTTCTTTCAGGTTTGAGGAGAAAACCCCGGAGTTGAAATGCAGGACGATGTTTTTTTTATACTAAATGCGGAATTCTCTGAACGGGAGGTTTCTAGTCCTCAAGAGGCTCGGGAAAAGGACTTGTGTAAAAGTTTTACAAAACAGCTTTTGCTCTTCGTGTGTTTCAATAAACATTTTGTAGAAATCGGAGTGTTTGACTTGGCTGGGAAAGGGGTCTCTGGGCTCACAATTCGGAGGTCTCTCATTCGTGGGGCAAAGGAAGAAAGGGAGGAGAGAAAAGAGGAGAAAAAGGGAGAGAGGAGGGAAAAAGGAAGAAGGAGGAGGAGGGAGAGAGGGAAAGAGGGGGGAAGAAAGGAGAAGAGGAATAGAAGAAGGGAAGAAATGGGAAGAAAGGAAAAGATAGAAAGAAGGGAAGAAAAGGAGAAGAGGAATAGAAGAAGGGAAGAAAAGGAAGAAGAGAGAATGGGAAAGAAGAAAGATGAGGAGGAGAGGAAGAAGGGAAGAAACAAGGAGGGAGACAAGAGAATGGGAAGAAAGAAGAAAGGAGAAGAGTAAAAGAAAAAGAAGAAAAGAAGAAGAGAATGGGAAGGAAGGGGGGGGGGGGAGGGGGGAAGGAAGAGGAAGAAGGGAAGAAAGAAGGAGGGAGCAAGAGAATGGGAAGAAGGAAGAAAGAAGAAGAGGAATAGAAGAAGGGAAGAAAAGGGAAGAAAGGAGAAGATAGAAAGAAGGGAAGAAAAGTAGAAGAGAGAATGAGAAGGAAAGAAAGGAGAAAAGAAAAAGGGAAGAAAAGGAAGAAGAGAGAATGGGAAGAAGGAAGAAAAGGAGAAGAAGAACAAGAAAGGGAAGAAGGAGAAGAAGAAAAGAGAGAAGAAAAGAGAAGAGAGAATGAGAAGGAAGAAAGGAGAAAAGAAGAAGGGAAGAAAAGGAAGAAGAGAGAATGGAAGAAGGAAGAAAGGAGAAGAAGAAAGAAGGGGAAGAGAGAATGGGAAGAAAAGAAGGAGAAACAGGAAGAAGAAGAAGAAAGGAGGAATAGGAAAAGGGAAAGAAAAGGTAGGAGGAGGATGGGAGAATGGGAAGAAGGAAGAAAGGAGGAGAAATTGGAGAAGGGAAGAAAAGGAGAAGAAACAGAGAATGGGAAGAAGGAAGAAGAAGACAGCAAGATGAGAAGAGAAGGTGAGAGAATGGGAAGAGAGAAGAAGGGAAGAAAGGAGGGAGAAAGGAGGAAGAAAGAAGAAGGAGAAGAGAGAAGAAAGGATAAGAGGGAATGGGAGGGGAGGGAGGGGGAAAGAGAATGGAAGAAAGGAAGGGAAGGAAGAATGGAGTGTGGAAAGGGAAGGAGGAGGGCAATGGGAAAGAGGGGAAAGAGAGAGGAATGAAAGAAGGAAGGAAGCAGAGAAAGGAAAGGAGGGTGGAGAGATCTCCCAATGGCCTGCCCTTCTTCCCTTCCTTCCATCCTTCCTTCCTTCCAAGGATTCAGGACCTTGGAGAGAAGCTCAAGCTGACTCTCCCAAGAACGGCCCAGACTGGCTCTGCTCTGAGGCTGAGAAAGTGTGACTCCATCATTTTCAATGCCCGAATGGGGACTGAAAAAGTGAGACAAAGCAGAAAGGAAGGAAGGAATGGAGAGAAGGAGAAAGAAAGAAAAGAGGAAAGGAAAGGAAGGAGAAAAAAGAAGGGAAAGGAAGGGAGGGAGAGGAAGAAGGAAGGGAGAAGGAAGGAAGAAGGGAAGGAGAAGGAAGGAAAGAAAAAGGGGGGGGGAAGGAAGGAAAGAAAGGAGGAGAAGAAGAAGGAAGGGAGGAAAAAGGAAGGAAGAAAGAAAGGAAAGAAAAGAAGGAGGAAAAGGGAGGAAAGGAAAGGAAGGAAGGAAGGAGAGGAAACAAAAGGAAAGAAGGAAAGGAGGGAAGGAAAGAAAGAAGGAGAAAGGAAGGAAGAAGGAAAAGGGAAAGGAAATGAAGGAAAGAAGAAAGGAAAGGAAAGAAGGGAAAGGAAAAGGAGGGGAAGGAAGGAAGGAGAAAGAGAAAGGAAAGGAAAAAGAAGAGAAGTGAAAGGGAATGGGAGGGAAAGGAAGGAATGAAAGAAAAAAAGAAATGAAAGAGGAGGAAGGAAAGGAAAGAAGGAAGGAAAAGAAAGAAGGAGAAAAAGGGAGGGAAGAAGGAAGGAAGAAGGAAGAGGAAGGAAGAAGGAAGAAGGAAGGAAGGAAGGAAGGAAGGAAGAAAGAAGAAAGGAAGAGGAAAGGAGGGAGGGAAAGGAAGGAAACAAAAGAAAGAGGAAAGGAAAGAAGAAGGAAAGAAAAGGAGGAAAGGAAGGAGGAAGAAGGAAGGAGGAAGAAAGAAGAGGAAGAAAGAAACAGGAAAGAGAAGGAAGGAAGGAAGGAAGGAAGGAAGAGAAGGGAGGGAGGAAGGAAGGAAACAAGGAAGGAAGGAAATGAAACAAAAGTGAAGAGAAGGGAGGAAGGAGGGAAAGAAGGAAGGAAGGAAGAGAAGTGTGAGGGAGGGAAAGGAAGGAAACAGAAGTGAAAGAGAAGGGAGGGAATGGAAGGAAGGCAAGGAGGGAGGAAGTCAAGAAGGAAGGAAGGCAAGAAGGAAGGAAAGAAAGAAAGGGAGGGAATGGAAGGAAGGCAAGAAGGAAGGAAGGAAGGAAGGAAAGAAGGAAGGAAGAGAAGTGTGAAGGAGGGAAAGGAAGGAAGGAAATGAAACAGAAGTGAAAGAGAAGGGAGGGAATGGAAGGAAGGAAGGAAGGAAGGAAGAGAAGTGTGAGGGAGGGAAAGGAAGGAACATAGGAAGGAAGGAAATGAAACAGAAGTGAAAGAGAAGGGATGGAATGGAAGGAGAGCAAGAAGGAAGGAAGGAAGGAAGGAAAGAAAGAAAGAAAGAAGAAAGGAAGAGAAGGAGAGGGAAAGAAGGAAAAGAAGGAAAGGAAGGAAGGGAAGAAGGAAGGAAGAAAGAAAAGGAGGAAAGAAAAAGGAAAGGAAAAGGGGAAAAGAGAAAGGAAAGGAATGAGAGGGGGAAAGGAAAGGAAAGAGAAGGGAGGGGGGGAGGGAGGCAGGCGAGAGGGGCCGAGGCGGCCATATATAGGAAGGCGGTCTGGATCCGCGTGCCCCTCGAGGGTCCCATGAAGTCACCGGCGTGTGACTGGGCGTGCGACACCTCGGAAAGGGAATCTCTGGGGCTGGAATGCGGCCGGGCAGATAACCCCGGACCCCCGAAGAAGGGATATAAGGAGAGGAGAGAAGAGAAGAGGGCAAACGGATAGGAAGGAAGGAAGAAGGAAGGAAGGAAGGCGCTCCAGCACACCAAGGAGACTTCACACCACCCACAGCCATGGAAGCCAAGCCCGGGACTCTTCTCTTCCTTGTGCTCCTCTTCTCCTTGGTCATCTCTTTCCAGAGCCCGGCAGCCGCCCACCCGGTCAGCGGCCTGAGTCCGGCCAAGGAGCTGGCCAGCATGGAGGTAAGGAACGCCTGGGACACTTCGGCCCTCTTCGCCTTCGGGATGCTCTTGGGAAGGGTAGAATGAGACAGAGACAGGAAAGAAGGAAGGAAGAAAAGAAGCAGGAAGGAAGGGCAGAAAGAGGGGAAAGAGAGAGAAAAAGAAGAGACAAAGCATGAAGGAAAGGCAGAAAGAGAGGAAAGAGAGAGAAAGAAGGAAAGAAGAGAGGAAAGAGAGAAAGAAGAAGGAATAAGGGAGAGAGAAAAAGGAAGGAAAGCATGAAGGAAGGGCAGAAAGAGAGGAAAGAGAGAAAAGAAGGAGAAAAGGGGAGACAGAAAACGGAGGGAAGGAAGGATAGAAAGAAGAAAAGAGAGAGAAAAAGAAGAAGGAAGGAAGGGAGGAAAGAGAGTAAAAGGAGAGGAAGAGGAAGGATTAAGGGAGAGAGAAAAGGAAGGAAACAAGAAGGAAAGGCAGAAAGAGAGGAAAGAGAGAGAAAGAAGGAAAGAAGAGAGGAAAGAGAGAAAGAAGAAGGAATAAGGGAGAGAGAAAAAGGAAGGAAAGCATGAAGGAAGGGCAGAAAGAGAGGAAAGAGAGAAAAGAAGGAGAAAAGGGGAGACAGAAAACGGAGGGAAGGAAGGATAGAAAGAAGAAAAGAGAGAGAAAAAGAAGAAGGAAGGAAGGGAGGAAAGAGAGTAAAAGGAGAGGAAGAGGAAGGATTAAGGGAGAGAGAGAAAGGAAGGAAACCATGAAGGAAAGGCAGAAAGAGAGGAAAGAGAGAGAAAAAGAAGGAGAAAAGGGGAGAGAGAAAAAGGAAGAAAGGAAGGATAGAAAGAGAGAAAAGAGAGAGAAAAAGGAGAGTAAGGGAGAGAGAAAAAGGAAGAAAGGAAGCATAGAAAGAGAGGAAAGAAAGAGAGGAAGAGAGGAAGGAAGGAAGGAAGGAAGGAAGGAAGAAAGGAAGGAAGGTAGAGAGGAAAGAGAGAAAAAGAAGGAGAGAAAGTGGAATAAGGGAGAGAGAAAAAGGAAGAAAGGAAGCATAGAAAGAGAGAGAAAAGGGAGAAAAAAGAAGGAGAAAAAGAAAGAAAGGAAGGATAGAAAGAGAGGAAAGAGAGAGAAGAAAAAGAGAGGAAGGAAAGAAGGAAGGAAGGAAGGAAGGAAGAGAGGAAAGAGAAAAAGGAGAGAAAGGGAAGGAAAAGAGTGAGAGAAAAAGAAAGGAAAGAGAGGAAGGAGGAAAGAAAAGAGAAAGAGAGAGAAAAGGAGAAAAAGAAGAAAGGAAGGAAGAAAGGAAGAAAGAGAAAAAAGAAGAAGAAAGGAAGAAAGGAAGAAGGAAAAAGAAAAAGGAGAGAAAAGAGGAGGGAAGGAAAGATGAAGGAAAGGATAGAAAGAGAGGAGAGAGAGAAAGAAGAAGAGAGGAAGGAAAGAAGGAAGGAAGGAAGGAGGGAGAAAAAAAGGAGAGAAAGAGGAAGGAAGGAAAGCATAAAGGGAGAAAAGAGAGAAAGAGAGAGAAAAAGAAGAGGGAAGGAAGGAAGAGAGGAAAGAGAGAAAGAAGGAGAGAAAGATGAGGGAAAAAGGAGAGAGAAGGGAGAAAGAGGGAGAGAGAAAAGAAGGAGAGAGAGAGGAAGGAAGGAAAGAAAAAAGGGAGAGAGAAAGAAAGAAGGAAAGAGGAAGGAAGGGTAGAAAGAGAGATAAAAAGAAGAAGAGTGGAAGGAAAGAAAAGAGGAAAGAGAGAGAAAGGAGAGAAAGATGAAGGAAGGAAAGAAAGAAAAGGGGAGAAGATGGAAGAAGGGAAGGGGAAGAAGAAGAGATGAAAGGAAGGAGAGAGAAAGGAAAAGAAGGAAAAGAAGGAAAAAAGGAAGGAAAGCAAGAAAATGGGAGAGAGAGAAAGGAAGGAAGGAAAGCAGAAAGGAAGGAAGAAGGGAAGGGGAAGAAGAAGAAGAAAAGAAGGAAGGAGAAGACGAGAAAGAAAAAGGAAAGAAAAGGCAAGAAAGAAAAAGAAAGGAAAGAAAGCAGGAAGGAAGGACAGAAAGAGGAAAGAGAGAGAAAAAGATGGGGAGAGAGAAAAAGAAAAGAAGGAAGGAAAGAAGGGAAAGGAAGGGGAGGGGAGGAAAAGGGACAGGAGGAAGAAGGGAAGGGGAAGAAGAAGAGATGAAAGAAAGGAGGAGAGAGAAAAAGAAAGAAAAGAAGCAAAGAAGGAAAGAAAGAAAAAGTTAGAGTAAGGAAAGAAGGAAGGGAAGAAGGAAGAAGGGAAGGGGAGGAAGATAGAAGAAAAGACTGGGGAAGAGAAGATAGAAAAAGAAAGAAAATAATGAAGAAGGAAGGGAGAGAGAGAGAAAGCGGAAAAAGAAAAGAGAAGATGAAAATGGAGAAAAAGAGAAAGGAAAGAAGGAATGAAGAAGGGGAGAAGAAGGGATGAAAGAAAATGGGAGAGAGAGAAAAAAAAGAGTGAAATGAAGAAAAGCAAGAAGGAAGGACAGAAAGAGAGGAAGGAGGGAGAAAAAAGAGTAAGGAAGGAAAGAACAAAGAAGGGAAGATGAGGAAGAAGAGATGAAATAAAAACGAAGGAGAGAAAGAAATAAAAGGAAGGAAAGGAAGAGAAAGAGAAAGCAGGAAGGATGAGTGGGAAGAGAGAGAAAAAGAAAACATAAAGGGGGAGAGCAAAAGAAAGAGAGAAGTGAAAAGAAGGAAGGGAAAGAAAGAAAATAAGGAGAGAAAGAAGAGTGAAAGGGACAGAGGAAAAGAGGAAAGGAGGAGGGAAGGAGGAAAAGGGAGGAGGAAAGAGAGATGAAGGAAGGAAGGAAGGAAGGGGAAGGAAGGAGGGAAGAGAAGAAAGAAAAAGAAGGAAAGGAGGAGGGAAGGAGGAAAGAAGGAAGGAAGGAAGGAAGAAAGGAAGGGAAAGAAGGAGGGAAAGAAGAAAGAAAAAAGAAGGAAAGAAGGAGGGGAGGAGGAAAAGGGAGAAGAAGAAGGAAGGGAAGGAAGAAAGGAGGAAGGAAGGAAGGAAGGAAGGAAGGGGAAAGAAGGAGAGGAAGAGAAGAAGAAGAAAAAAAGGAAAAAGGAGGGAAGGAGGAAAAGGGAGAGGAAGAAAGGAGAGATGAAGGAAGGAGGAAGGAAGGAAGGAGGGAAGGAAGGAAGAGGAAGAAGGAGGGAAAGGAGGAAGAGAAGAGAAAAAAGAAAGAAAGAAAGGAAGGAAAGAAAGAAGGAGGGAAGGAGAAAAAGGGAGAAAGAAAGAAAGAAAGAAAAAAAAAGAAAGAAAGAAAGAAAGAAAAGAAAGAAAAGAAAGAAAGAAAGAAAGAAAGAGAAGAAGGGGAAAGAAGGAGGGAAGGATGAGGAGAAAAAGGGAAGAGAAGAAAGAAAAAAGAAGGAAGAAGGAGGGGAGGAGGAAAAGAGAAGGAAAGAAAGAGGAAGGAAAGAAGGAAGGAAGGAGAAAGAAGGAGGGAAGAGAAGAAAGAAAAAGAAGGAAAGAAGGGATACGGGCGATGCTATCTGATTCCTCTTCTCTTCCTCAGGCCTTGCTACAACGCCTGGAGGAGAAGGTCTCCTTGATGGAGGACCTCCAGGACGGTCCCGGGTTCGAGGAGCCCAGCATCCCAAGAAGGGACCTGAATGAAGCCTTGGAGGAAGAGCAGGAGGAGGAAGAGGATGAAGGCAACACCGACTTCAGGGCCCATCATCCTCGATTCTCTTCCTCGCCCGGCCGGAGCTCCCTCCTGAAGAGGATGATGGGCCTCCAGGCCTCCAAAAGCCTGAGGGAGTCGGGGTGCTTCGGGAGGAGGATGGACCGGATCGGGTCCGTCAGCGGGTTAGGGTGCAAAGGTGAGCACCGGGCGGTCATGGGGTTCGTAGTTCTCCAAAGGCAGATTCATGGGGTTTGTAGTTCTCCAAAGGCAGATTCATGGGGTTTGTAGTTCTCCAAGGGTGGAACCATAGAGTTTGTAGTTCTCCAAGGGTGGACTCATGAGGTTTGTAGTTCTCCAAGGGCAGAACCATGGGGGTTATAGTTCTCCAATGGCGGGATCATGGGGTTTGTAGTTCTCCAAGGGTGTAACTATGGAGTTTCTGTTCTCTAAGAATGGAATTATGGGGTTTGTTGTTCTCTAAGGGTGGAACTATGGGGTTTGTCGTTTTCTCAGGGTGGAGTTATGGGGTTTGTAGTTCTCTAAGAGTGGAACTATGGGGTTTGTCATTCTCTAAGGGTGGAACTATAGGGTTTGTCGTTTTCTCAGGGTGGAATGATGAGGTTTGTAGTTCTCTAAGGGTGGAATTATGGGGTTTGTCGTTTTCTCAGGGTGGAATTATGGGGTTTGTAGTTCTTTAAGAGTGGAACTATGGGGTTTGTTGTTCTCTAAGGGTGGAACTATGGGGTTTGTCGTTTTCTCAGGGTGGAACTATGGGTTTTGTAGTTCCCTAAGGATGGAACTATTGAATTTGTAGTTCTCTAAGAGCGGAACTATGGGGTTTGTCGTTCTCTAAGGATAGAACTATGGGGTTTGTTGTTCTCTAAGGATAGAACTATGGGGTTTGAAGTTCTCTGAGTGGAATGATGGGGTTTGTAGTTCTCTAAGGGTGGAACTATGGGTTTTGTAGTTCCCTAAGGATGCATCTACACTGTGGAATGGATGCAGCTTGACACCACTACCATTGCCATGGACTCATGGGTTTTGTAGTTCTCTTCACTTGGAAACGAATGCATAAATAATGCCCACGGTAACTCAGAGCTGTTATGACTAATTGCAACCGATCGAACAATCCCAATTATTTCTAATTATTGTTATTATTTCTCATTGATTTCAGGACTCAGAAGGAATTAAGAAGAAGAAAATAAACTCCGAACCTGACGCGAGGAAAATATAATTTTTCCAAAAAAAAACCTTTGGAAACCTTCAGAAAAAAAAAAACCCAAAAATTCCCTAATTTATTTATTTATTAACTAACTTATTTATTTACTTACTTGACCTCCTCTCTGTTTTTGCTTAATTTCTTTTCTTTTCTTTTCTAAATGGAAAAAAATGACAAAAATTTCTTATTTTCAGCACCTTTGCTTGATGAAATAATATATAATATATATAATAAAAAATACACTTCAAATGCTTTGCTTCTTTCTTTGCTATGGTTCCTCCCAGGGCTCATTTGCATAGCCACACCCACTCATTTGCATAGCCACACCTAGTCAACTTGTTCAAGTTTCTAGATCAAGATATTATTTTACTACTAATATTAGTATTAGGAATATCAATATTATTTTACTACTAATACTAGTATTAGGAATATCAATATTATTTTACTACTAATACTAGTATTAGGAATATCAATATTATTTTACTACTAATACTAGTATTAGGAATATCAATATTATTTTACTACTAATACTAGTATTAGGAATATCAATATTATTTTACTACTACTATTAGTATTAGTAATATCAATATTATTTTACTACTAATACTAGTATTAGGAATATCAATATTATTTTACTACTAATACTAGTATTAGTAATATCAATATTATTTTACTACTAATACTAGTATTAAGAATATCAATATTATTTTACTACTAATACTAGTATTAGGAATATCAATATTATTTTACTACTAATACTAGTATTAGGAATATCAATATTATTTTACTACTACTATTAGTATTAGTAATATCAATATTATTTTACTACTACTATTAGTATTAGGAATATCAATATTATTTTACTACTAATACTAGTATTAGGAATATCAATATTATTTTTCTACTAATACTAGTATTAGGAATATCAATATTATTTTACTACTAATACTAGTATTAGTAATATCAATATTATTTTACTACTAAGTATTAGTAATATCAATATTATTTTACTACTAATACTAGTATTAGTAATATCAATATTATTTTACTACTAAGTATTAGTAATATCAATATTATTTTACTACTAATACTAGTATTAGTAATATCAATATTATTTTACTACTAATACTAGTATTAGTAATATCAATATTATTTTACTACTATTAACATTAGTATTAATACAAATATATTAGTAATACTATTAGTAGCATTGATAATATTAATATAACACTATCTTAATACATTAATAGAATATTATACATATAAATAATAAATATATTAAATTAATATAATGGATAATATAAATCATTGTAACAAATAATATAATAAATTGCAATATAAATAATATATCTTACAATATAAATAATTTAAAATATAGTATATATCACAATAATATATAAATAAAATTAAAATATACAAATATAAATAATCACCGTAAAATAAATATAATAAATCCTAATATTATTGTAAGAAATATAATAAATTGCAATATAAATTATCTTACAATATAAATAATTAAAATATAGTAGATATCACAATAATAGATAACTAAAATTAAAATAAATATACTATAAATCAATATAATAAATCATATCATCTTTTAATTTTAATATATTTTACAAAATAAATATAATATGATTATAATATAAATTAAATTATTACAATATAGTGTTAAATCAATTATATTCATTTAAATTACTATAATATATAATATATAAAATTAAAATATAATAAATTATAACATAAATAATACATCTTATTTATTAATATTTAATACATCTTATATAAATATAATATGATTACAATATAAATTATTACAATATAGCTCGATTATGTATTAAATCCATTATATTCATTTAAATTACTATAATATATAATTTTTATATTAAAAGAAAAATATAATAAATTATAATATAAATAATAGAGCTTATTCTTAATATTTAATACATCTTAAAATATAAATATACATTATAAATGAAATAAATACTATATTAAATTATTATGATATATACTTTATTACAATATATTGTAGAAATTATATATTAAATAAATTATATTATATTTAACTAATTAAATTTAATATATTATGATCATATATACTTTATTGTAATATATAGTACAAATTATATATTAAATAAATTATATTATATTTAATTAATATTAAATTCAATATATTATGATGATATATACTTTATCATAATGTAGTACAAAATATATATTAAATAAATTATATTATATTTAATATTAATATATTATGATGATATATACTTTAATATACAGTACAAATTATATATTAAATAAATCATATTTTTTTTTTATATTATTTTTTATTCAAATTTTCATTCATATACAATAAAAACAGGGAGAAAGCAAGAAAAAATGGGAAAAAATGCATTTAGACAACAGATGAATGCCCGATAACCAAACCAAAACATGGGAAAAGAAGAGAAGGAGAAAAAAGGGAAAAAGAGAAAAAAAAAAAAAAAAAAAAAAAAAAAGAACCCACCCCCTACAGTGACCTCCATTCATCTTACTTTGTGCTTATCCCTTAAGCTATGTATGCTAATCACAACATAATATATCATTTACCTATCTCTTGTAACTTATGACTAATAACTAATGTCTCATTATATTGGTTTATAAACATATGCATTGTCCATTTTTATATCTTCTAATCCCCTTCTTAATCAGTGTTTGGACCAATTTTCTTTGTCTTCTAAATACTCTTGTAATACCGACCAGTCCGTTGGGTTGATTACCCGGCCCTTCCATTGTCTGAGCCAATGTGTAAGTTCATCCATGTCCTTAATATCTTTTATTTTAACAATCCAGTCTATTTTAGAAGGTATATTTTCCTGCTTCCACATCCTGGCGTAAACCATTCGTGCTGCCGTTGTAAAGAAAGTAAAAAGTTTTTCCTTGTTGTCGTCTTTCAGGATCTTCGAATCAAACATCCCAAGTAAATAGTGTTCCGGTTGCAAAGGAAATTCTAGTTTTAATGTTTTTTTACATTCAAGATGGATCATTTGCCAATAAGTCTTTGCCTTATCACAGGACCACCAGATGTGGTAAAAAGATCCCTCATGATTTTTACATTTCCAGCAATTTGTGCTCATTTGTTTGTACATTAGTCCTAATTTTTTTGGGGTCATATACCACCTATGCATCATCTTTAATAGATTCTCTTGTAGATCTGAGGCATAGGTATATTTCATCCTTTTCACCCAAATTGTTTCCCATTCTTTTAATGAGATCGATCTGCCAATGTTTCTCGCCCAATTAAGCATTGAGTCTTTTATCACCTCTTTTTCTGTAGCCCACTCCAAGAGTTTACTATATATTTTTGTGATAAGTTTCTTTTCTGATTGTAATAATTTTCCCCAAAAGTCCTCTTTTTCTCCAAAACCCCTTTTTTTATCAGCATTATAGGCCTCTTTGAGTTGTGCGTATTGGAACCAGGATATGTTTTTAAATTGAGAGGCAATCTCCTCTTGTCTTTTTAATTCAAATAGGGCTCCTTTTTTGTATAATATATCACCATATTTCGGCCATTGAGACCAACCTAGTAGCCTTCTCTGTTTTGCCTCTAAGGGCGATACCCATAAGGGGGTTTTTTGACAAAAAAGGTTTTTGTATTTTCTCCACACTTTTAGTAATGCAGAGCGTACAAAATGGTTCCCAAAGTTTTTCTCCTTTTGAGCTCCCTCATACCAAAGGTAATTATGCCATCCTTGTCTCAAATCAAATCCTTCAATGGTTAATATTTTGGGTTTTTTCAGAGAGGACCATTCCTTTATCCACGACAATGCCGCAGCTTCATAATATAATGTCAAATCAGGAAGTCCAAAACCCCCCTTTTCCTTTGATGTGATCATTGTCACAAATTTAATTCTTGGATGTTTCTTCTTCCAAATAAATTTTGAGATGTCTTTATTCCAATTTTTGATATAACTGTAGTTTCTGATAATAGGTAAGTTTTGAAATAGAAATAACATTTTAGGCAAAATGTTCATCTTCACTGCCGCTATCCTTCCTAACAGAGATAAATTAAGTCTTTCCCAGCTTTCCAGTTCCTTTTTGATTTCCTTCCATTTACTTAAGTAATTATTTTCCAAGAGGTGGAGGTTCCTCGCAGTTAACCACACACCTAAATACTTAATCTTATTAGCTATCTTAATTCCAGATTTGTCTTGAAGTTCTTTCTGCTTCTCATGAGATATATTTTTAGTCAACATCTTTGTTTTCTCCTTATTTAATTTAAAACCTGCCACTTCTCCGTAATCTTCCAATACCTTAATCCAATTCTCAATATTGTCTCTAGGGTTCTCAATTATGGCTATGAGATCGTCCGCATAGGCCCTGATCTTACATTCCTGGTTATCTATTTTCAGACCCCTCAGGGTCTTGTCTTGTCTGATATTTCTCAACAGGACTTCTAGCACGAAAATAAAAATCAGGGGGGACAATGGGCATCCCTGCCTCGCCCCTTTTTCTATCTTTATTTCTTCTGTACTAATACCATTGATCCATAATTTAGCTCTTTGGTCATCCAAAATTGTTTCAATTACATTTTGAAAATGAAATCCAATGTCTACTTCTTTGCAAAGCAGTTTAACAAAGTCCCATTTCATATTGTCAAACGCTTTCTCAGCGTCTATCGTCAATAATGCAATTTCTTTTTGGTGGTGGCATTCATAAAACTCTAGAGCATCAATAATTATTCTTAAATTGTCCTTAATATTTCTTCTAGGCAAAAAGCCGTTTTGGTCTTCTCCAATCCAATCTACTAAAAATGTTTTAAATCTATCCGCCATAATACTTGCAAAAATTTTATAATCCAAATTCAATAACGAAATCGGGCGGTAATTTTTTATTTCTGCTGGGTCTGTTCCATCCTTCGGAATCAATGTGATGTCTGCCAATTTCCATGTTTCTGGAATTTCTCGATCATTTAAAACTTTATTCATAATTTTTTGTAACATAGGTGTAATTTCTTCTTGAGTAATTTTATAATAAGCAGCAGTGAAGCCGTCCGGTCCTGGTGCTTTATTGTTCTTCAGATTGTTAATTGCTTTCTTGATTTCTAATTGGGAAATAGGTTTATTTAAATTTTCCCTCTGTTCTTCTGAAATTTTTCCCAATTTCTGAATATTTAGGTATTTCATTATTTTTTCTTTGTCAATATTATGTTCTTTGAACAAATGTTGATAAAATTCTCGGAAAGCCTCCAGAATATCTTTGTCTTTAGTTATCGTCCGACCATTAATGTTAATTTTATTTATGCCTAACTCATTTTTCTTTTTCCTTAATTTTCTTGCCAGCCAACGGCCAATTTTGTTAGCATTTTCAAAGGAATTTTGTTTAAGATATTTTAGATCTTTTGCCAATTTTTCTATCTCCAAACTATGTTTTTCTTTCCTAAGGAGGGTCAGTTCCTTAACCAACTTTTGATTTTTTGGATCTTTCTTCAACTCAATTTCTTTATTATGTATCTCATTCTCGACCTCTACTATTTTTCGATTCTTAAGTTTGTTTCTTTTTGAGTTATGTTGAATTAGCAGACCTCTCATCACGGCTTTATATGCGTCCCAAACTATCTGAGTCTTTAACTCGTTTGTGTCGTTGATTTCGAAGAATTCTTGTGTTCTCTTTTTATAATTATTAATATCTTCTTGTGTTTTTATAAGGTTTTCATTCAGTCTCCATCTCCTTACTGGTTTTTTGTAATTTATCACCATTGTAACAGGGCTGTGATCTGATAGGTCCCTTGACAGAATTTTAATTTCATCTACTTTGGCTGTTAGCAGCTTTGTAGTCCAAATCATATCGATCCTAGACCAGCTAGCGTGACGGTTTGAATAGAATGTGTAATCCTTTTCATTTGGGTGAAGCACTCTCCATGTATCCTCCATATCAAACTCTCTTTTCAGCTGGTGGAACGAGTTTAATATTAATATATTATGATGATATATACTTTATTGATAGTACAAATTATATATTAAATAAATTATATTATATTTAATTAATATTAAATTCAATATATTATGATGATATATACTTTTTATAATATATAATATATATTAAATAAATAATAATAAATTGATTAATATTAAATTATATATATATATATAGCTTAAATTATAACATATAATGTATACATTATTATAACATATAAAAGATAGCAAAATATAATATCCTAAATATAATATTAATTCATTAAAATAATATCTTAATATAATAAAAGCCAGCATAGGGATCTTGTTTGCTGTATATCAAATAATAATAATAATAATAATAATAATAATAATAATGGAATATTAAGAGGATTCTCCCCAAAACTTAGACCCAATCGCCATGGATTTCGAAGAAACCGCAAAACCTCACCAAGAAAGACGCATTTTCGATTTTGTTTTTAATGGTGTTCGGTCCTTTCCTTTTAAAGACGATGCAAATTAAAAAATTAATAATACATGATTAAAAAATAACAATAATAAACATTGATATACATACACATACAGTGGCGTTAGGTCCCCCCAAAAAACAACAAAACCCTAGAAAAAAGTGCAAATTGCAAAAATAAAGAAAATTGCAAAATTAAATTAAGGACGAGTGATCTGGGGATGATGGGAACTGTAGTCCGGGAAATACAGGCTGAGCAAGGATCCCAAAGGATGATCGGCTTCATAATACTGATACGGTGCTTCTGGATCCAGGAGGGGGAAACTCTATTCTGCTAAGACTACAATCCCCATAATCCCCGACGGGCTAATACTAACCTAGAGGGAAGGCGGTGGGGGGATGATGGGAGTTGCATTACAGATCCCATCAGGCACCATCAATATTGACGACGGCAAGGGACCGTGAGCCCCTCATTGAGTCTTATGGGCGAAGGATGGGATCTCTAATCCAACTCCCATCATCCCTGGCTACCAGACACTGACTAAGCCTGATGGGATCTGTAATCCAACTCCCATCATCCCTTGCCACCAGACGTATTGACTTAGCCTGATGGGATCTGTAATACAACTTCCACCATCCCTGGCTACCAGACACTGACTAAGCCTGATGGGATCTCTAATCCAACTCCCATCATTCCTTGCTACCGCCTGTATTGACTCAGCCCGACGGGATCTGTAATGCAACTCCCATCATCCCTTGCCACCAGATGTATTGACTCAGCCTGATGGGATCTGTAATGCAACTCCCATCATCCCTTGCCACCAGAAGTATTGACTCAGCCTGATGGGATTTGTAATGCAACTTCCACCTTCCCTGGTTACCAGACACTAAGTCTGATGGGATCTCTAATCCAACTCTCATCATTCCTTGCTACCGGCTGTATTGACTCAGCCCGACAGAATCTGTAATGCAACTCCCATCATCCCTTGCCACCAGAAGTATTGACTCAGCCTGATGGGATCTGTAATGCAACTTCCACCTTCCCTGGCTACCGGACACTGACTAAGCCTGATGGGATCTGTAATCCAACTTCCATCATCCCTTGCTAACAGCCGTATTGGCTCAGCCCAATGGGATCTGTAATGCAATTCCCACCATCCCTGGCTGCTAAGCCTGATGGGATCTGTAGTGCAACTCCCATCATCCCCTGCCACAAGCCGTATTGGCTGTCATGCTCTATAGTCAATACTGATGGTGGCTGATGGGATCTGTAATGCAACTCCCATCATCTCTTTCTACTGGCCACTGACTGAGCCTGATAGGATTTGTAGTGCAACTCCCATAATTCCCTGCCACAAGCCATATAGGACGGGTCATACTCGATAGTCAATACTGATGGTGGCTGATGGGATCTGTAATGCAACTCCCACCATCCCTGGCTACTAAGCCTGTAGTGCAACTCCCATCATCCCCTGCCACAAGCCGTATTGGCTCAGTCATGCTCTATAGTCAATACTGATGGTGGCTGATGGGATCTGTAATGCAACTCCCACCATTCCTTGTCACAAGCTGTATTGACTCAGCCTGATGGGATCTGTAATGCAACTTCCACCATCCCTTGCTAACAGCCGTATTGACTCAGCCCAATGGGATTTGTAATGCAACTCCCATCATCCCCTGCCACAAGCTGTATAGGCTCAGTCATACTCGATAGTCAATACTAATGGTGGCTGATGGGATCTGTAATTCCACTCCCATCATTTCTTTCTCCTGGCCACAGAGCCTGATAGGATCTGCAGTGCAACTCCCATCATCCCCTGCCACAAGCTGTATAAGCTCAGTCATACTCGATAGTCAATACTAATGGTGGCTGATAGGATCTGCAATGCAACTCCCATCATCCCTTGCTACTGGCCACTGAGTGCGCCTGATGGGGTCTGTAGAGCAACTCCCATCATCCTCTGTCACAAACCATATAGGCTCAGTCATACTCGATAGTCAATACTGATGGGATCTGTAATGCAACTCCCATCATCCCTTGGTACTCTAGCCACCGCAACACAGCCCTGGCTGGGGATGATAGGCCTTGCAGTCAATCCCCAATGAATGGCCGAAGTCCAGGAAAGGCCTGGCGCGGCTGTGTTCCTGGGAGCTGTGCTTTATCAGGTCCATCTGAAGGCCAGAATATCAATCCAGGCCAAAGGCTGGCGGGATCTTGCTCGCCGACGCGCCGCCGGAAGACTATAAAGCCCAGTGAGGTCAGGACTGGAAGGAGCTGGATGGGGCCAACCTGGGCCAGGCCCTCCCTCCCCAGAGTTGGCGGCGATGGAGACGCCGATTCCCACCCATTGACATCAGCGGCTTTTGTCTCTCGTTAGCGCTTCCTCTCGTTAGCCTCTTCCTCTCGTTTAATTGCATGCCTGTTTACTGGAGAGGAATCCCATTTGCGTTGGCGAAAGGCTTGAATCACTTGGGTCGCAGTGAGTTTTCCGGGCTGTGCAGCCACATTCCGGTAGCATTCTCTTCTGACGTTTCACCTACAGCTTCACAGATTCTCTCTGTGTGTATATATATATATACACACACACACATACATATACATACATGCATACATATATATGTTTGAGTGTATATATTTGCATATATATGTATGTATATATATATATATATATATATATACACACACACACATATATGTACATATACATACACACACACCCCTGTGAAATAATGTCCAGGATGGGAGAAAGAACGCTTTTCCTGTTTCAGGAAAGGAGAATGTCGCAATCAGCAAGCATTAGAATAGCCATGAAGTTTTGCCAAGTCAATCAGTGAGAGTCATGAAGCCAATTAGTGAGAGCATCTGCATAGAAATAGCCTGGCTGTTCATCCTCTGTTTGGAAGATGTTAATTGCAACGTTCACATTGCAATTCGCAACTTTGAATAGCATTGAGCACTCGTGAAGTTTTCCAAGTCAATCAGGGAAGGTGTTTGCATACACAAAGAGCCTGGCCGTTGTTTACCTGGAGGCACCCTCTGTTTTGGGAGGTGTTAACTACAACATCCACACTTGCAATGAGCAAACTTGAATTGCACTGAACAGCCATTAAGTTTGCAAAGTCAATCAGGGAAAGTATTTGCGTACTATAACCAGGGAGGGTATCTGCACTGAAATAGTCTGGCCTTGGTTGCCTGGAGGCATCCTCTGTTTGGAAAATGTTAATTGCAACGTTCACACTTGCAATTGGCAAGCTTGAATAGCACTGAGCAGTCGTGAAGTTTGCAAAGTCAATCAGGGAGGGTGTTTGCATACACAAATAGCCTGGCCGTTGTTGTCTGGAGGCACCTGCAATTAACATCTCCCAAAATGGAGGATGCCTCCAGGGAACAACGGCCAGGCTGTGTATGCAAACACCCTCCCTGATTGACTTTGAAAACTTCGCGACTGCTCAATGCTATTCAAGCTTGCCAATTGCAGATACCCTCCCTGATTGACTCTGCAAACATAATTGCTGGTCAATGTGATTCAAGCTTGCTCATTGCAAGTGTGAGTGTTGCAATGAACACTTCCCAAACAGATGGTGCCTCCGGGCAACAAGAGCCAGGCTACCTCTATGCAGAGACCCTCCCTGATTGACTTTGCAAACTTCATAGCTGCTCAATGCGATTCAAGCTTGGTCATTGCAAGTGTGAATGTTGCAATTAACACCTCCCAAGCAGATGGTGCCTCCAGGCAACAGGGGCCAGGCTACCTCTACGCAGATACCCTCCCTGATTGACTTTGCAAACGTCATAGCGACTCAATGCTATTCAAGCTTGCTCACTGCAACATTTACATTTACTTTGCAGACTTGAGGGTTCTTTCTCCCATGCTAGACATTCCACAGATATTATAGATACGCTCCACTTGAAGATGCCATTAGCCACAGATGCAGGCGAAACGTCAGGAGAGAGTGCTGCTGGAACATATTGGCCACACAGCCTGGAAAACTTGCAGCAACCCAATCCCACTTGACTTTATTTAGAAAGGGGGAAAAAAAACCCCATTTCCTGCTTGGAATATGGCAAAAGGAAAAAGAATGGCACGCGTTGGACCCTTCAAAACAAAACACAACAAAATCCCTTTGATCCAAAGTCCGGTTTTCCCAGAAACGTTCAAGGGTCTTCCGTTAAGTCTGGGTCTTGGGCGGCAAAAGGGGCTCCGATGCACGGAGAGGGGTCGAAGGTCCGGTCAGAGGGTCTGGTAATGCTGCCGGAGCCGGGCCTGGAGGTACTCGTGGGTCAGGTTGTGCCGAGTGATGATCCCCACGATCTGGAAGGGAAAGAGGAATCTATGCTGACGATCATGCCATCACCGCCCAAGCAGGGAGCTTTGAAATGGTCGAACAGAAGCTCTCCGAAGCTTTAGGTGCGCTTACTGCCTATTACAGGGGAAACCAGTTTGCTCCATCCACTTACACAAATAACACTTACACAAATAACCAGCCACTGCCAGAAGAGACAGAAAGTTTCATCTATGCTGATGATCATGTCATCACCACCCAAGCAGAGAGCTTTGAAATAGTTGAATAGAAGCTATCTGAACCTTTAGGTGCCTTTACTGCCTATTACAGCTTGCACCATCAATGTTTCTCATCTACACAAATGACCAGCCACTACCAGAAGGAACAGAAAGTTTCATCTATGCTGATGATCATGTCATCACCGCCCAAGCAGAGAGCTTTGAAATAGTTGAATAGGAGCTATCTCAAGCTTTAGGCGCTCTTACTGCCTATTACAGGGGAAACTAGCTTGCTCCATCAATCTTTAACGTTTCCACAAATGACCAGCCACTGCCAGAAGGGACAGAGACTTTCATCTATGCTGACGATCCTGCCATCACCACTCAAGCAGAGAGCTTTAGAATTGTTGAACAGAAGCTCTCTGAAGCTTTAGGTGCCTTTACTGCTTATTACAGGGGAAACTGGCTTGCTCCACCAATGTTTAACATTTACACAAATGCCATAAGGGACAGAGAATTACATCTATGCTGACGATAATGCCATCATCACTCAAGCAGAGAGCTTTGAAATGGTTGAATAGAAGCTCTCAGAAGCTTTAGGTGCTCTTACTGCCTATTACAGGGGAAACTAGCTTGCACCATCGATGCTGAACATGTACACAAATGACCAGCCACGGTCAGAAGGGACAGAGAGTTTCATCTATGCTGACGATAGTGCCATCACCACTCAAGCTTTAGAATTGTTGAACAGAAGCTCTCTGAAGCTTTAGGTGCTCTTACTGCCTATTACAGGGAAAGCTAGCTTGCTCCATCAATGTTTAACATTTACACAAATGACCAGCCACTGCCAGAAGGGACAGAAATTTTCATCTATGCTGACGATAGTGCCATCACCACTCAAGCAGGGGGTGGAACAGAAGCTCTCTGAAGCTTTAGGTGCTCTTACTGCCTATTACAGGGAAAGCCAGCTTGCTCCACCAATGTTTAATAATTACACCAATGCCATAAGGGACAGAGAATTACATCTATGCTGATGATAATGCCATCACTGCCCAAGCAGGGAGCTTTGAAGGAATTGAACAGAAGCTTTCTTACAGCCTATTACAGGGGAAACCAGCTTGTTCCATCAATGTTTAACATTTACACAAATGACCAGTCACTGCCAGAAGGGGCAGAGAGTTTCCCCTATGCTGACGATCATGCCAT